AAATGGCAGAAATAGCATAATCAGAAGCATCTGTACTAAGAATAAATTGCTGATCAAACCGAGGGTGCGCCAACACCGATTCGGATGTCAGGGCGGCCTTGAGATCATCGAAGGCCAGTTGCTGGGAATCTGTCCAAACAAACTTCTCGTCTTTTCTTGTTAGTTGAGTTAAAGGCCGACTCATGGCTGCGTAATTTCTTATAAAAGCCCTATAATATCCGGATAGGCCTAGAAATGCGCGGACATCTTTCATCGTTCTTGGCCGTGGGAATTCTCTGATGGCTGTAACTTTACCTGGGTCTGGGGCAACGCCGTTGCTAATAACAACATGACCGAGATATACCACCTCCGGAACTGCGAACGTGCATTTGGCGACGCTTAATTTGAAATTCGCCTCTCGCACGTGTTCAAACGCCAACCTCATTCGTCTCACGTGATCTTCAATTGTCTCACTGAACAGCAACAAGTCATCCAAATACACGAGTACCTCCACGTCACACAACCCAACCAACATGGCATCCATGACGAGGTGAAATGTCGAAGGGGCTCCTGAAAGACCAAAGGCCATTTTCTCATACCTAAAACTACCGAAGTGGGTGACGAATCTCGTCTTATCCTTATCCTCCTCCCATATAGGAATATTCCAATACGCGTTTTCGATGTCCAATAACGTGAAATATCTACTCCCCGCCATAAGTGAGAGGTTGCTCTTGATATCGGGTATGGGGTACACTGGTGTACTATTCACTGAATTTAACCCTCGAAAATCGGTACAAAATCTACATTTTGGAATTCCGTCCGGTGATTTCTTGGGGACTCAAATCACTGGCGCCGCCCACGGCGAGGCGCAGGGAGTAATAACCCCTTTAGCCAACATCTCAACTAGCTGGCGTCTCATCTCCTCCCTCCATGGTGCGAGGATGAATAGGGTTAATTTTCCGTCGAGTGAGGCGCCGATCTACGTGAGAGTAAGCCCAGGGCGGCTACTCGGCAGTCCCCTTCCCGGTGCGAAGGATGAGTATAGCTTGAATAAGCTTTTCCGTCCCGAGCGACGAAGATTTAAATGCGTCTACTTGTGAACTTAGCTCAGGATGTAGCTACTGTAAGGTTATGCCGCCGCTATGCAAAACTGAGAGACAAATTTCTTAAAGGAAAACCCGTTATCTTTCCGATTCCTACCCACAACATATACCGGATCCAAGGTCTTTACAAGAAGCTGATCTGACTCATCTGGTCGATAGGAATTCGAATCTTGACGCACGAAGAAAGTGATAATTACACAGATAATATGACCTCCCGACCAGGGAAGATGTAAGCTGGTATAAATTTCAAGTGGAAACCGACCGTCCTGTAGTGGGATATAGTCGACCCATTCCTATCGTCTTAAGGCCAGCTGTTACATCACAGATAGAGTAAATGATAAATGGCGATATTTTTGGAATTTGGAAACTCCTTTTATTTAAACCCTTTAACGGCAGTCGTACGAAATGTCAAGAATCTTAGAATTTGAATAGATGCTCGCAGGGTTAATTAGTATACCGTCACTGATTGTGAACGGACACCTCCCGTGCAAGAACCGTTATAGAAGATTTGTTGGGACTAACTATACATTTTGAGAATTTTATTTGCAGTTGCAAAAGCTTTTAAGCTAATTCGGGGAACAATACTGAGACTTGTGTTGTTTTCTACATGGATAACTTCCGGCTCACTTTCGTATGTCCGAAAGACAATTAGGGTTTAGATTTTTACAAAACAACAAAGAAAAAATGTCGTTTCAAGAACACTAGCAATGAACGTAGTGTTAGCTGAGAAGTGAACCTCAACGGCAAACAGTGTCATTTAGTGAAAGCATTGTTACTTTAATATATCCTAATCAGTTTTAAAGTGCTACGAGCAACTAATTAACGGATACAAAGTGCATTATAATACACTTATAGGCAAACTCAGTTTTGCAAAAGCTTACCTGTTATCAAACTAAATATGTATTGTAAAGTGTCTGGAATCCAGAAGAGTCACTTCTAGGGAAACGGTAGAATAGACCGTTGCATAGGAAACAACAAGTGCTCTACTGTAGTTCTAACAGGAATCTCCACGGTTACGACAAACTCGCGTAGCGTTCCCACAGAGACAACGCAATAACAATGGGTCATTGCGTAGGAAACGCTGAAACAACAAAGCAACGTCTCCACCGCTATAACAGAGGATTCATTTGCCTAGCAGCGGCCAAGGTTATAAATAGCCCGGCTTCGATGAGAAGCAGTCAGTCTCGGATCGTCCATCGGAGAAGAAAGTCTCGGAGTAGCCAGCTAAGAGGTCAGTCGTGATCGAGCCATCTTGGAAGTGAGTCCTAGAATAACCGCGAGAGGAGATAGTCCAGCATCGCAGAGTTGTTGTAAGCAGTATTTGTAACACTGCAAGTGGTAATGATTGTAAAGGGTGTAAAGTGTGAGCGAACGGAAAAAAGTCGCTGTAATAAAGGACGGCGTGAACTTATTTGTAGCGTGACACACAAAGCACGCTACACTGGTGTCAGAAGTGGGATTGGATTTTAACACGCGTTCTACAAAAAGAAATTGAGTCACAACAGATAATGGAACTCCTGCTAGCCATGCAGGCGAAGGCCAACGCCAGATACGAATAAGCGAATATCAAGGCGGAAGCCAGACACGCACAGCTGATGGCCGACCAGAAAGCATGGCGAGAATAAATGGCCGCAATGCGAGCCAAGAAGTTGAAAGCCTGGGGGGAAGATAGGAGAACTACCCACGAGAAGATTGAGCCCCATTCAGAAGCGATGCAGTCCGTACTGGAGCATCGAGAAGTCCCCGTAGAAGACGCCCCGAGAATACCTTGAGAAGGAATTTTAATTTACAAGAATTTTTCCTATTGTTGAACTCTACTACTCATAATATTTTTTTAACAAGTGTAAGGATGTACAACTATTCATATTAAGGCGATTATGAAGTAAATGTCTCATTACTGAAACAAAATTTACTTGGGAGATTGTAACCGATTACTCCTTTTGGTAATACACTTCGCCTAATTCATGTACACATATAATTTTTTATTAAGGGGAAAGGCACTTAAGATTGCGCAGTGGCATTTTCTTGTAGTTGGCAGCACTGCTGACTGGCGATCTTTTGTCGAGAGATGAAGCTCCTGAGGTGCTCTTCAACGGTGTGAAGAATTTTCCTGAACGTGATTTAATAAAGAGTTATCAGGTAAGAATAACAATTCATCACTCTTGATATAAATCTGAATATTAAAAAGGCAAGCTTTCTTGCAATTTGTAATAATATTTTCTTGGATATAATTATTCCTCTTGCAAGGTGAACACATAACCTGAGATGTGAACTACTCGCTGTTTGCTTGCGTGAAGGCGTCTGCCAGCTATTGGCCACAAGGTAGAAGCCTGTAAGACTGCGCTCTTGTGCGCAATCCTAGAGGCACAATTACGCTTCGTAGAAAAGGTTTCAAACTAGGGTGTTCTTTCTTACAGACGTCTGCTTAAGCGTACAACGGCACTTCGGCTGTCACTTCTCGCAACCGTTGCCTATCTATCTTTATGTTTATTTATTTGCCCGCTTCGGTAGAACACTTTTGACTCTTCTCAGGGTTGTGTCACGGTAATAAATGGGTCAACTCGGAGACTGCACATTTAAAGCTAGTCCACTGATAGAAATAAAATACTCTATTTCTGCTTAATCACAAATTGTTTAATTCAGAAGCAAACACTATATCTTTATTGGCAAGTAGGGAGTAATGTGCCCTTTTTTATTATCAAAGATTAATCGAACCAAATAAAGTATGTTAAATTTAGATGAACTTGGAGAGACCAGCTCAATGACGTTGCCTCTGGTGAATTCTATGTGCCAAGTGCCTCTGCTCACTCTATTCTGCGGGAGCGTCACTTCATCCACTGTATAGGATTTGAACCGACGGCCTTTCTCCCAGACAAGAATAGTTTTCTAATGGCTAATTTTAACTGTCATCATACCATCAGTACTAGACAATCACATTACTAACGTTGAGAATAAAGAGATCCAAAGATATTGAACCCGGAACCCTACATGTGAAAGCGGTTATTTCTTAGTTTATGGTCTAATTACACCCTTCCGAAGACACTTTAATAACAGCTACCCTATTAGCAAAACAACATTTACATCTTGGGCAGACTACAGACATGTGTTTTCCTAATGGGCCTCGACCCTTTAGCGGTCACCCACGCTGCAGGTAACGGAACAAGGCAGTTGTTCCTGTCTAAATGCGAAAAGCATGTCAACTTCTTAATGGATGGGTCTCCCTAATAAATCAGTCACTCTATTGAAATGGCTAACGAGGAACATAGGGTCCATTAAAGAGCATTAAAAGGTTTGGACTGTTACAAACGCAATATGATTTCAACATCAGACCGAAAACTTTACGAAGCTAGCAGCAGAATTGAAAAAGGTGAAAGTAAAAAAAGTAGCTGCTTCGTTGGGAACAAAAGAATCCACTTTGAGAAATAGTTTGAATTTGGCAAGTGAGAACTAGTAATTAAATAAGTAATTTAATATTTTATTTATTGTTTATCATTTGTTTATGTTATACTACATTTTAACTAAAGTTTACAATATTTATACTTGCTTTAACTTACAGAGGACTGTACCAATTTCCCTGGGACGTCACAAGCCTGTGTTTACCCCTGAGGAGGAACAGCAACTGGCAGACCATTTGAGGGAGCTAGACAGATTCTATGGCATCACTAGGAAACGGCTCATGAGTTTAGCGTACGACTTTGCCGACAAAAACAAAATTGGCCATATGTTCAACAGGACTGAGATTAGCGGTTAAGAACTGGGTATTGGCCTTCTGCAAGAGGCAAAATCTAACGTTACGCACTCCAGAGAAGTGTAGTCTTGAGAGAGCAAGTGGATTCAACAAAATCCAATGTGAGCAATTTCACAATAATTTGGTAGGTGTGTGTGCTGAGAAAGAGTTTCCAGTTCACCGTAAATTCAATGTGGGCGAGTCTGATATCTCGGCAGTCCCCAATCGTGTCCCAAAGGTCCCAAAAGAGAAAGAAAACCGTCTGCAAAGAGACATCAGGCGAGAGAGGGCAGACAGTAACTGCAGTGTTCTGCATATTTGTTCCTCCAGCTATGATCTTCGCAAGAAAGCGTATGAAACCAGAACTATTCACAGATGCCCCAGAAGGAACATTGCCAATGATTTCTGACACTGGTTTTATCAATACTGAACTCTTCGTAGAGTGGCTAAAGCATTTCAGCAGCTTCGTGAAGCCAATGAAAGAGGATCCAGTTCTCCTGATACTGGACAACCATATCGCCCATTGCAGTATTGAAGCTGTTCTCTTCTGTACAGAACATCATATAACTCTTCTGTCTTTACCGCCGCATGCAAGCGGCAGGCTTCAGCCTTTATGTGTTGGCTTTCTCGGGCCTCTGAAGGAAGTCTACGCTCAAGAGGCTGACAGGTGGCTAGTGAACAATCCTGGCGCTGCAACTGCTGAGATCAACGTTGGCAGAATCTTAAGATCAGCCTACGAGAGAGTGGCAAACATGAAAATAGCAGTACGTGCATGCGAGACAACGGGAATTCATCCGGTTAACAGGAATGTCTTCTCAGATGAAGACTTTGCACCCTCAGAAGTGACATTCTGCCCCCGTGTGCAGGAGACTCAAGCCACTGCAGAAGACACTCACGTTTCAGCGAACAATGAAAATGGTAATGAAGTGTCCTTAACAGTTCAACCTGCGATAGTTGAGGAGCCACAAGTCTCGCCTGCTATGATGTCACCATTACCGAAGGCAGTGCAGACGAAGAAGCGGAAGATGACTGCTAAAAGTCCGAGGTTTTATCTTCCTCTCCATACAAGAACGCTCTTCTAACAACGAGGAGAGAGCCAAGCAATAACAAACAAGGCAGCAGAACTCTTCGTTACGACGGCCCTTCAGTAGCGCCAACTTGTTCTGCAGCTGCAGAAGAAGAGAAAATTAACTGTCCTGGTTGTGACGAAGCCTATGAAGAGCCCATTACTGAGGACTGCGTGCAATGCCGTGCGTGTAAGCAATGGTGGCATGAAGACTGTTCAAGCCACGAAGGCTTCGGACGCTTCAAATGCGATGTATGTTAACGCGCATTCTGAGAGGACATTGCCTGTAAGACTGCGCATTTACCATTCGCCAAAAAATGTTCTTTTAAAGACAAACTATTTAATTTTTGTAACTTTTGATGTGTTTTGTATTCTTGAGAGTCGGGAGTTTTGTTTAATAAATGCAGTTTTTCATGGCATCAATAAGTTAAGTGCGCAATCTTAAGTGACTTTCCCTTAACTACTGCCATTTCATCATCACCATCATCATCATCATCATCATCATCATCATCACTGGCACGACAGCCCTTTGTGAGCCCTGGCCTTCCTCAGGATTGCAACTGCTGCAATTTACCTACTTAAAATAAGAATTTGAGGTAATTGCGTACATCATTACGCATATATTACGCTACAAGGCATACAGTAAGTAGCAGCTGATGCACTGTGGCCTGATGTTACAGCAAATTTATAGTCCAGGGAGCTCGCTTTGTGTTTGTAATGCGTGATTCAAGCTCCAAGAACATATAGCCAGGGGCTTCATGTTCCCCGACTGGGGTGGCGCCCAATAACTACAAAGGTGAGAGTACATCGTCAACGACTAAACTTGAGAATCGTTAGCAGCCATTCACCAGTGAGCAGCTGCATCCACCTTTACCCTTCACAGATGGGGCCAACTTTACCCAATCACTGGCCAAAAGCGAACTCCCACGAAGAAATTGTAATAGCCCATAGGGTAGTGAGATGTTGAGGCTCCCACATTTTCTAGAAAAATCTGCTCACAGATGGCGGTAAGGTCAGCCTTACACGCCGGTCGCCCTTTACCTTTATATTCCTGGTACTCATTTCTGTTAGAGGCTGAGTCGAACCGATGGCCATAGTGCGGCTCTGAAAAGTAGGTCATTTGAAAAATCCACCTCATCGGGATTCGACCCCGCGGCCTTCCGGCTTGTGACCTAAACCATGAATAACGTAGTGTCTTACTGTTATAAATCCATCCCTGTAACAGGCCCTGAAGGCCAATAGGGTTGTGAGACGTTCCACATTGTCTCTCGATAAACGGCTCACAGCTGACTGTGAGGTCAGCCTTACGCGCCGGCCGCCCTTTACTTCCAGGAAGGTTTCTGGTGCTCATTTCGTATTGAAATAAATATCCATCCTTCAAAAATAGAATTATATAGTTACTTTAAGTCAGTGAGCTAAATCAGGTTTGCCTATATTTCGGTAGTGAGATGACTTTTCAAGCTTGTGCAGGCAACTTTACACAGGACGCTACATATGTGGATATTCCTGCATTAAAGTACAGTAGAACTTGGTTATAACGTCATCAAAGGGACATAAAAATAGTGTCGTTATAAACGAATGTCGTTGTAACCGAAATGGGCACTTCCACCGTAGCCTTATGTTAGTCACGTAAAAATCTACCAAAAACCGAGTTAAAATGTTGCATTTTTTTAGTGAAATAGTTAAGTACAGACTAACGTAATATTAACGTGGAATTTCCCAGATGTGTAATACATCAGCTTTTTTCCTTACATTTCCTATTTCACGAATCACTTTACCTTTCTCTTCAATGCTTAAAACTTTCCTTTTCATTGCCATGTTTTCGCTACTGCACTTCTCTGGGTTTAGGCAGGAACACTATAGGGTAAGTAGACAATGTGAGGTCCTGTTAGACGAGATTCTAGGAAAGGAATGCAGTTAACAACCTGCCGCGTCCTCTTGCACTATTCACGCAGTCCCACCCCACACCCTTGTTTTCGCATAAAACCCACGCTCCTCTTGCAGCCCGCGGTCGTATTCTTCCAGGACAGTCACGTCAGCAAGTAGAGAAAGTGAGGGTGGGCAGACACATCGAACTTTCCCACGATATCAGAGAAATTCAGGAATGAAAATGACGTTACATACGAGGTTGATGATTTGTGCATGTCGTACTAAGCAAGGTATAAAAACAGTTGCTTTATGAGGAATTAGTTCGTACCATTGAATATTTGACGCAATAGACAAGGTGTCGCAGAAACCGATGTTGCTATAACCAAGTTTCGCTGTAATTAAGAAATTCTGAACTATACTTGTAACTGAGACATAATATGATTCTTGTATTTATGAGCGATGTATACCCATTATTCATGTAACAGTTCTAACAATTGTAACTATGGAACGTTGATTGCGTACCCCATCCAATTTGCTGGAAGGGTTTTTTTGCCGGTGACCTGCACTGTCAGAGCATGAGCGCAAGTATATGCTACGAACTTCGTCTGCAGAGAGAACATTCGTAGGCTGGCACTGGCAACTGGCACGTCGGAAAAGCACACAGTATCTGCCAATAACAGCGATCCTATTAGTTCAACGTCTACCGTGTTACTGAGGCAACATAGTGTCGCTGCGCATGCTCAGCAATATTAGGCTCGCCGACAAGCCAAAATCTGCCGTCCCACCATAACTTGATATCTGAATTCTGTCGACTGTGACAGTTGGTCTCGTAAACCCGGGACTAGTCAGATTTACAGCCCGGGTTAGTGCTGTGTGAAGTGTGAGACTTAAAATTGTAAGTATCTTTGGAATTCTCTCCAATTCGTGAATATTTAAGTAGGGGCATTGTTACGTGTTTTGCTACGGAAGACGCCCTTCAGATTGTTAATTGGTTTATTTAACAACCTACAAATCGTAACTACAATTCATTATGACAATGTTACGGGTTTACACACTTTACAAACCACACTCACAAATCTCTTCACTCCATCTTCAGTAGTCTTCACGTTACTGTATATTTAAAACAAAATCTAGTAATTTGTAGTGATGAACTTGGGAGGATGAGTGACGCATCACCGCCCCGAAATGAGGTTTTGTGGCGTAACCGTTCGGGTCCGGAGTTCTGGTTCGAACCTCAGCTAGTAGACGGACTGTCCGTAGTGTTGTTTGTATAATTCCTCCCCAGTCTGTCAGGAGAATGCTGGACTAATATCTAAATGCAGTACACGACCACTTCCTTCATACCGATATCAGTTCATTGTGAACCAACAGTTCCACATGAACTCTGTATTGTTGTGCCCTGGGTTATTAACGGGTATGATTTTATTTAACGATGGGTCGATTTTATAATTAATTTATTAGAAATTTATTATTAGTCTTGTAAATTGAAATACGTTGGGTGAACCACAGGTTGGCAGGCCGGAAACCAGAGTTGAGACCACTTTTAGACGTAGCACCTTTCTCGGGCGTCCGGCTTCAGTTGTACAGTTCACAGAAAATGCAGACAAATCGGGTGAAC